TTGTTTTTAAATAGAGGATATTGAATGAGTGTAGTTTTAATACTAAATTTATTGAACAAGTTGAATAAAATCATATTATGCGAGCCTCTGGCGAACATAATATTGTTTTATTCAACGAGTTCAATAAATTTAGTATTGAATCTACATGAATAATAATATTCTATTTATCATATATATAAAATAAGAACAGTAAACTGTAAAAATGAGTATTTTTTCAATGACGCGCCTATAGTGTAACGTTACCATTAGTGCGCTTTAACGCTATGTTTCTATATAGCGCAAATGATGTCACGTCAAAGTGTTATTACACTAGTGTAATATTGTTTTTATTAAATGGTTTTATTACACTCTTGCGCCGTGGTTAAGATGATAATGGGATATATATATATATACATTTAATTGTGTATATTATGAAATTCTACAATATTGCAGATTTCTATAAATTATTCAGAGACATAGATAACAGAGATAAGCAGCTCCTATATACTCCATTGAAATATCACTCATGCCTATAAAAAAGTGTAAAATTAGGCATTTTGTAGCAAATAAAACTTAATGGGTGTATATATGATCCTTTAATATATTATATACCATTTGAAAGGTAAATCTTTCATCTATGGCTGCATGTTAAAAATATTGGTAACTTTCTATGCTTTTCACGTAAAAAAGTAGCTGAACATACCCACTGAGCCAGTTTTTCATCATATGCATAGTTATGTAACAAAAGTTAATAAGTAGTTCTCTTTAAAAAAAATGATACAACATTTATTTAAATGGGAACTGTAAATATATTTACCTGCAGCCATAGACAAATGCATAAGCTTTCAGAAAATGTATTATTTTACTGATTTTGATATCTGGTTAATAAGTTTTACTTGCTACAAGTTTTAAGTTTAGTAGGCACGCGTGATATTTTAACTGGCTAGGAAGTTAAAAGCCTATCTCTGTTATCTATGTCTCTGAATTATTATGTCACAATAATTTCTGAATTATTCCTTGTTTTATTTTCTTTGATGTACAATTTTTGAAATTTACAGTAAGGACATTTTTATACTATAATATTTTCTGAACGATTTCTGTTTTTGTTTTGTACATTAAATAAAATGTGCATATTATGAAATTCTACAAAAAGGAGATTTTTATGCTAGAATAATTTTTTATAGCCTTATTTGATATTTATTGTTTTTCACTCATATGGGTAGGCTAATCCTAATCTTATAAAATATTCTAATGTTTACTAAAATATTATATAGTTGAAATGATTAAAATCAATTCAATTCTGTTACTCAATGATTATCATAGAAAAAGTTATTTCTTACAGACACCATTAGGAAGAATTAATTATTTTAATTCATTTTTATTATTGACAGGAATGTAGAGACTTCAAATTAATTTTTGAATTTGCTCATTTTTTTGGACAATTCGAAAGGGGAATGATTTCTGTTGTTTGTGTAATACATAGTTTTCCTATTGATTCAAGTCATTAATCAGTATTTTTGGCTGTTGTTTGTGTAATTGATGGCAATCATTTAATCAAATTCTTGTTTTTGCAACCATTTATCAATACTTCACTCTTGTAAGTGTAACACAGTTGTTCTCCCATTAGCCAATTAGTTTATCAAGTACTTCACAGTTGTTAGTAAACCGCCTCCGTGGTCAAGGGGTTAGAGTCGATGACTTCTAATTCCATTACGTCTGTCTGGCGTGGGCTCGATCCCCGTGAGATACTTTTGGTAGTTTAGCAGTTTTAGGAAGGTAGTCTAGTACTGGTGTAACTCTCCAGAACGATGGTTTGGAAACTCCCCACCTATATGTGCTGAAATACTGTTTGGGAAAAGTTGTTAAATGAAACAAACAAACAGTTGTTAGTGTAACACATGTGGCTGTTCTATTGCAATCATTTATCAATACCTCACTGCTGTTAGTGTGACACAAGTGGCTGTTCTATTGCAATCAGTTATCAATACCTCACTGCAGTTAGTGTAACACATGTGGCTGTTCTATTGCAATCAGTTATCAATATTTCAATGCTGTTAGTGTAACTAATTTAGCTTTTCTACTGGAATCAGTTATCAATACCTCACTGCTGTTAGTGTAACTCATGTGGCTGTTCTACTGCAATCAGTTATCAATACATCACTGATGTTAGTGTAACTCATGTGGCTGTTCTACTGCAATCATTTATCAATACCTCACTGCAGTTAGTGTAACTCATTTAGCTGTTCTACTGCAATCAGTTATCAATACCTCACTGTTGTTAGTGTAACACATGTGGCTGTTTTATTGCAATCAGTTATCAATGCCTCACTGCTGTTAGTGTAACACATGTGGCTGTTTTATTGCAATCTGTTTTCAATGCCTCACTGCTGATAGTGTAACATTTATGGCTGTTCTACTGCAATCAGTTATCAATACCTCAATGTTGTCAGTGTAACAAAGCTATGATAAAGACCATGTCAAAAATAAAGACCACCTTGTAAATTAAAGACCACCTTTAAAAAAGAAAGACCAATTTTCAACAATTCTCATTGATAAATAGAACATAGTAACCTCTAAATAAGGACCATTTGTCTATAAAGGCTTGATCAGTCCTTTATTTGGATGTCTTTGTTTACAAGTTTGACTGTATAATTGGCTGTTTAAAAAAAATCGAAATTTCCAGAAACATGTTGTCAGTGCTTGAGAATACAAATTTTGTTAAGCCTTATTGCTCACCTTTTTTTTTTGGAGATTAAACCAGGTGTGATATTTATAGATAGATTTATTTGGAAGCAGAAGTGAATATTTTTTTAATCTTGAACTTAAGGGGCTCGACTTGAGTCTTTCACTCTCTGGTTACTCTCATATTTATCATGAATCTCACATTTTAATTTCATTCTTAATTTCATTTGTAATGTAGAAAAAAGCCAGTGTTTTTTTAATGCAATGTGTTCAAATGTCAGAAGTTTTGTATATACACTGAAATTCTATTATTGAAAATGCACCTAATTTCAGATACATGTAAAATACAAAAAAAAATATCAGTGAACTTAAAAATATGATATTTACAGCATAATGCAGTCTCTGTTTTTCATAAAATGCTACTGTACTGTTGAAAAGTGTGAAATAATTTTTTGCTCTCATTTGGGAATAATGGGATTTATTGAAAAAAAGATTTCAGTGGAGTTAATTTAGTTGCAGGAGTTTTTTATGCAGAGTTTTAGGGCAATTAAGTCAAATGTAATTCAGATGTTTTAAGTTAAATACAAATATACAAAGAAATAATTAATGAATTAGTGACTTGTTATTGTTTTTGAACAGAAAAATGTTCTAGTTGAAAAGTGAAATGGTGAAAGGTTTTTATTGAAAATTCTTTTCTTTTTTTTTAATGGTGAAATGTTATTGGTAAAAAAAATGTCTTTATTAATGCTGAAATATTAATATTAATCAGTATCACTGAGTTTATATCAAAATATTTTTTTCAAATTTACTGATTGAAAGGGCTTTTATGAAAATAATTGAGCCGCGTCACAACAAAACCAACATAATGCGTTTGCGACCAGCATGGATCCAGACCAGCCTGCGCATCCACGCAGTCTGATTAGGATCCATGCTGTTCGCTTACAAACCCTATTATAAGTAGAGAAACTGATAGCGAACAGCATGGATCCTGATCAGACTGTGCGGATGCGCAGGCTGGTCTGGATCAATGCTGGTCGCAAACCCATTATGTTGGTTTTGTCATGACACGGCTCATATATGTTTTATGATAAACAAATGGAAAATCATCTTTTTCAGATGTCTGTTATATTATTTGAGTACTTAAATACAAAACTGCATGTTTGTAACATCGCTTTTCATTGGATAATTGTTTATATGGTTTTATACACGGCTGCTGTCGATTTATGAAGAAATCGCATTTTATGCCTTTAAAATTGATGCTTGCTGTATTATAAATTTGTTATAAATATTTCTGACAGGTTATATGGCTAGCCGCTTGGTTTATATTTACAAACAACTGTTTATATATATTTAAATAGGGCCAAAACTTAAAAAATTCTTTATAACTTATAGTATGGGGCACATTCTTGAATATTTCAGAATAATTTTATTTTGACCTTTATAAACTGATAAATTATTATATATTTAAAGTCTAGCCATTTCATTTTGGGTCATCTTTTTACAATTTGAATAATTATTCTGGAAAAACGAAGTGCGCAAATGATCTGAAAGTTTGTACAAAGATTAGTGGTCTAAACATACATCAAATGGTACATTTATCTGGAAAAAATATTTCAGTCCCATCATGACAAAATACCTCAATGGAACCCCTTTAAATTGAATTACAATTTTTTTTTTTAAATGTATGGGTAAATTCCATTTTCAGTGATTGAAATTTGATTTTCCTCTTTTCTGATTAATCAAGCTATAGTTTCCCATTTATAAAGCCACAGGTTGTTTTGAAAATTGAAAAAAAAATCACTGCCTCCTTGATAATTGTTAACCTGAAAAATCTATAATTGTTAACCTGAAAAATCTTCAGGCACTTAAAGGGATTTGAACCCCAGACCTCTTGATTACAAGGCAAACACACAACCATGTCGCAAAAATGTCAACACAACAGCAAGACTGTTGGAAATGATCTATACCTGTTCTCACTACATGGTTGAACAATGAAGTAATTTAATCAGTGTTAATTAGACATTTAACAATTTTTGATACGAACTGATATTCACATTTTTTTCACAAATCTACATTTAAAAAATAAATATCATAATAAAATGAGAGAACACTTTCTATTTTAGTGGTAATATACTGTGGAGTAATATGAAGAAATATTATTAATATTTTATTATCATAAATTTTTTCAAATTTTATGTCATTACATGCTGTACACAATCATATTATAGTGTAAACATATATATACATTGTATAGACACATATATACATTGTATATACACACACTAAGAGAGTAGTATTAGATGATTTTGAAAATGAAATCTCAAAATTGATATTTTCAGGGAAATAAAAGATCATTTACTTCAATATTCACTTGGAAAGGCTGGTACATGTAGCTAGAAAAAAGTACAGTATAAGATTAAAGAAAGACTAGAAGATTATTACAAACAACAGGTACTTATATAATATTTAATGTATATTTAACAAACCAAACTGTTTTCCAAAAAAAATTCATGAAAACATATGCATTTTTACCAGTGTCACCACAGGCCAGATTAACAGACCCATTCCCAGTGGCAAATAATGCCAAATATGCTTTTTTTTTTCCAAGTTTAGAAAAAAATCATAAGTCAAAATTCCCGTTATCAAAGCTGACAATTTTTCTTCATAATCCATTTCAATCCAATATGGTACCATACAGATGATGTTCAAAAACACATTTCATTGTCAATTTTTTATGTATTTTTTATGCTTTGAATGATATACAATTTGTTGGATTAACAACTTTGTACATGCATGGTACTGAATATTTTTCCCAATTAAGATGCAAAATTTCTAAATTTCCCAAAATGTCTAGGAAAAGGCTTGAATCTGAAATTCTTTGCATTTCTAATCTACATACTGAAATAGTCCAAGACTTGTTCATATATAGTACCGCCTAAAATAAAAGAGTGTCAGTGCATGCTCACAGTTTATTATAGTGTTAGTTAAGAACATACTTTAAATATTTCTGTCAATTGGCATTAAGATACTGCCTATGACAGTCTTTTTCCTTTGCTGAAAATGATCACTTACATAATTATGGTGTTTTAAGGTAGTACAAATCAATCCTACAGGGCATTACGAGGAACTGCAAAATTTACAATGCAGTTTTGTTGCCTTGAACAAGACCTCAATATGTATGCAAAATTAACAATACAGTTCATCCTTATGAATAGTTTACATTTTGGTTATTCAAGATTGAAACAAAAATTAAAGAAATATGTATTCAATAGCAAAGCACAGCTGTGAAGTGATTGACTTTCTCCACCAAATGATTTAAATTATGTATAAAAATGCTTCCCTACCCTTTGATTGACCATTTTTTTCTTCTTAGTGTGCCTTTATTGCTAAGATCTGCTTAATTGACAAGACTGTTTTTAAAGTTTGAAGGGATAATCTTTGAAACATTCATATTGGTTATTAAACTAACCATTATTTACTTTATTTGTAGCCAATAAATAATTATACCTTTAAATTGTATGCGGTCTAAACAAATTAATTGTATATTGTCTGAATTGTATACACACCAGTCTCTCCACAACTCACCCCAAATGAGGGTAAAAATAACTCTGACATAAAGAAGTCTGCGTAGGGATGACAATTTTATTTTATAAAACGCAATATATCGTTCATTGCTTTCAAGGGATCATTGTTTTTCAGAGTTTAATATTGCAAGTGCAAAATTGATAGTTCCACTCTGTTACTATTTATTTAAATATTCAAAACTACTTTCACTTTCGGTTTTAATTTAAACTAACAATTGACGAAAATACGAGTGTTGAACGAAACTGGGTTTGTAAAACCAATAATGGATTGTCAGAAGGAGTGTTTTGCGCATGTTTTGAGTAAAAATGATGTAAAGGCTATTACACCAACAGAGTATGAAAAAAGTTTAATTTATCAACTGGCCCCATTTCCTTTTTGTTCTATCACTTCGGCGTTAAAGCCACCATGTAAAAAATAGTCCGTTCCATCATGCTTAGAGTGGTTTCACACAGGTCAGTAAGACCGGTGTACACAATGTACTGTCTGAACATATGTGACAGAAAAAATATCACAAAAAAGGAATTTAGTATTACTATGAGTATTTATTAAAGAAATTGTATTTCAAATATATTTAAATAGTATTATTGAAAGTCATTTTGTATGACAGACACACAAATCTAGTGCTCTTTATTATAAATATAAGAAGAGACAAATAAGATAAGCATTTTTTTGCAAATTATTGTACTTCATATAATTTTTATTGCATTTTTTTAAGGTGGACATGTGTCACTGTCAAGCAAATGAAGATTAGCATCACATTCGGTGGGAATCTCCAGTTTCCAGATGTAGTGATCATAACTGCATAGGCACCATGAACACTTTGGCCTAGTTGGAGTATTTTAGAGGGCTTAGGTCTGAGTTGAATCCCCTGTCAATAGTAAAGGCCAGTAATGAACATTGTGTTGAAGGAAAATGTTAAAACTCGGATTTCCCGCTAAACCAATCATTACTTTACCTTATATTCAGTGCGGTAATGTAGGAAATGGTTACTTTCTGGAACGGAGCTGTCAATAATTTTTATTTTTTTAGCTTGTTAGCGTTATTGTCGGACAGTTGAGAAGTAAAGACTTCGCAGTTTGACTGTATACAAGTTTGCCTTAAAGAAAGTATGTGGAAATTTTAACAGTTATTCTTTGATTTTGTAGAAATTGACCAGAATTCAACTTTGTTTACACGCATCGCTTGGACGTCGAAAACGACATGCAATGACATTTCAGTGAAATTTGGAAACTTGCTCGTATTTTGGAGCATTTTGAAGGATTTCGATGAAGTAAAAAGTGTTTATGATAGGATACATTATTCCTAGAGACAACCACAAAGATAAAATAGTGATCTGGTGTATTTTTACAGAACAGTTCTTGTTTGCTTTGCATGATAGTTTTCTCTCATTAGGGACCTTTATTCTTTATATATAGTATTATGAGCGTATATGGGTAAATTAATTGTGTCTAGTGCCTGTGGTTTTAACATGTATCTTAGCTTGCCTGGTTTAATGAAAAGTAATAAACCTGAGAATTGAAACTATGAGAATAAATTGTTGTTATTAGTCCCCTTCTGTTTTCAATAAGAGGGGACTAAAGGCTGATCTCTTTCTGTATGTCAATGAAATCTGAATTTTGATATTACTCAAAAGGTACGAAAGCAAGGTTCATCATACTGGTATCTGATATAGAACTATACTGAGATTAAGCATGTTATTATAATTCATGCTCCTGAAAGGGAGAGAATATAGTTGCGGTCTTTACCATCTGTTGGTATGGACTCAAGTAATATTATTGATAAATATCCGTGTTCATTCCATACAGACTTGTACTTAAAGGAAAAAAGGTTGCTCATGGGAGGAAAATATGTTTTTTATGGTGTTTTTGAGATTTTATAAGATTAAGGGGAAAAAAAACACGGTCTGACCTTAGGAAGACAATCAACCTTCACACACTTGTCCGGAATATGAATATAACTAGATATGTATTGAAGGGATTTTATGTAAACTTCACAAAGTGATAGAGACTTTTAAGAGGAAGTGCAATGTTCAAGAAACATAACTCTACCTTGCTTCATGTTTTAATTATCTCCCTTAAGTTAAAAATGCTTATTCCAAACTATCACTGAATCTACATCTACTTGAACGACTCGAATTTGCCAAAGTGTCAAAGAACCATAACTCCATTCCTTAGATTTTAGCTCGACTATACGAAGTATATGGAGAGCTGTCCTACTCGCCCCTGCGTCCGCGTCCAGATTTTAGATTAAAGTTTTGGTGCAGTAAAATATTTTTCACTATAACTTTCTCATTTCTTAAGGTATCAACTTTAAACTTCAAATATATGTTCCTTATCATCAACCACATCTTATGTGACAAGGTTCATGACTCTAGCACCAATATTTTCAGATTTATCTCCCCTTGAACTTAGAATTTTCCTTAAAAAATACTATTTTTTACTGTTACTTCTTTATTTCTTAAGGGATCAACCTCATACTTCAAATATATGTACCTTATCATCATCCCCATCTTATGTGACAAGGTTCATAACTCTAGCACCAATATTTTAAGATTTATCTCCCCTTGAAGTTAGAATTTTCCTAAATAAGTACTATTTCTTACTGTTTCTTCTTTATTTCTTAAGGGATCAACCACATACTTCAAATATATTTACGTTATCATCATCCCCATCTTATGTGACAAAGTTCATAACTCTAGCACCAATATTTTCAGATTTATCTCCCTTTGAACTTAGAATTTTCCATAAAAAATATTATTTTTTACTGTTACTTATTTATTTCTAAAGGGATCAACTTCATACTTCAAATATATTTACGTTATCATCATCCACATCTTATGTGACAAGGTTCATAACTCTAGCACCAATATTGCAAGAATTTTCTCCCCATAAACTTAGATTTTTATGCCCCCACATAGTGGGAGCATATAGCGTTGCACTTGTCCGTCCGTCTGTCCGTCCGTACGTCTGTCTGTCCGTCCGTCCGTCTGTCCGTACGTCCCGAAATCTTGTGAACGCAACTCCTCTTAAACCGGATGGCAGATTTTGCTTAAACTTCCAGGGATGAACAACCTTTATGTGTAGATGGTAGTAAAGGAAGGAATTTTCGCTGTGACAAAATTTAACAGAATTATGGCCCTTTGTTGATTTTTTCACTATATACTATGTAGAAATTTTGTGAACGCAACTCCTCTTAAACCGGATGGCAGATTTTGCTTAAACTTCCAGGGATGAACAACCTTAATGTGCAGATGGTAGTAAAGGAAGGAATTTTTGCTGCGACCAAATTTAACAGAATTATGGCCCTTTGTTGACTTTTTCACTATATACTATATAGAAATTTTGTGAACGCAACTCCTCTTAAACCGGATGGCAGATTTTGCTTAAACTTCCAGGGATGAACAACCTTAATGTGTAGATGGTAGTAAAGGAAGGAATTTTCGCTGTGACAAAATTTAACAGAATTATGGCCCTTTGTTGATTTTTTCACTATATACTATGTAGAAATTTTGTGAACGCAACTCCTCTTAAACCGGATGGCAGATTTTGCTTAAACTTCCAGGGATGAACAACCTTAATGTGCAGATGGTAGTAAAGGAAGGAATTTTTGCTGCGACCAAATTTAACAGAATTATGGCCCTTTGTTGACTTTTTCACTTTATACTATATAGAAATTTTGTGAACGCAACTCCTCTTAAACCGGATGGCAGATTTTGCTTAAACTTCCAGGGATGAACAACCTTAATGTGTAGATGGTAGTAAAGGAAGGAATTTTTGCTGCGACCAAATTTAAGAGAGAATTATGGCCCTTTATTGATTTTTTCACTATATACCATATAGAAATTTTGTGAACGCAACTCCTCTTATAACGGATGGCAAAATGTTGCTTAAACTTCCAGGGATGAACAACCTTTATGTGTAGATGGCAGTAACGGAAGGAATTTTTTGCTGTGACCAAATTTAACAGAATTATGGCCCTTTGTTGATTTTTTCACTATATACCATATAGAAATTTGTGAACGCAACTCCTCTTAAACCGGATGGCAGATTTTGCTTAAACTTCCAGGGATGAACAACCTTAATGTGTAGATGGTAGTAAAGGAAGGAATTTTTGCTGCGACCAAATTTAACAGAATTATGGCCCTTTGTTGATTTTTTCACTATATACCATATATATGTTGTCAGTGGGGGCATCCGTGTCCTTTGGACACAGTTCTAGTTTTACTAGAAAAATGTTATTTTTTATTACAACTTTTTTATTTTTAAAGGTATCTACCTCAAACTTCAAATACTTATTCCTTATCATCAATTACAGTTTTAGCTCGACTATTCGAAGAATATGAGAGCTATTGTAGTCACGTCAGCGTTGGCGTCGGCGTCAGCGTCGGCGTTGGTTAAAGTTTTTTGTAAAGTCAAATATCTCAATCATTACTTGAGATATTCAATTGAAACTTACAATACTTATTCACAGTAACAAGGTACATCAGATTGACAAGTTGGATAACTCTGCCTACAATATTGACAGAATTATGCCCCTTTTTAACTTAGAAATTTTGGTTAAAGTTTTTTGTAAAGTCAAATATCTCAATCATTACTTGAGATATTCAATTGAAACTTACAATACTTATTTATAGTAACAAGGTACATCAGATTGACAAGTTGGATAACTCTGCCTACAATATTGACAGAATTATGCCCCTTTTTAACTTAGAAATTTTAGTTAAAGTTTTTTGTAAAGTCAAATATCTCAATTATTGCTTGAGATATTCAATTGAAACTTAAAATACTTATTTATAGTAACAAGGTACATCAGATTGACAAGTTGGATAACTTTGCCTACAATATTGACAGAATTATGCCCCTTTTTAACTTAGAAATTTTGGTTAAAGTTTTTTTGTAAAGTCAAATATCTCAATTATTGCTCAAGATATTTAATTGAAACTTACAATACTTATTTATAGTAACAAGGTACATCAGATTGACAAGTTAGATAACTCTGCCTACAATATTGACAGAATTATGCCCCTTTTTAACTTAGAATTTTGGTTAAAGTTTTTTTGTAAAGTCAAATATCTCAATTATTGCTTGAGATATTCAATTGAAATTTAAAATACTTTTTTATAGTAACAATGTACATCAGTTTGCAAAAATGCATAACTCTGTCTGCAATATTTGCAGAATTATTTGCCCCTTTGAAACTTAGAAATTTTGGTCGAAGGTTAAAGGTCTTCAAAGATATTTACTTGAAACTTTACACATGCACTTAGGGTCATAATTGGAGGGTCATAATTGTATGTCACTGACCAAGTTCCATAACTCTATATTGCATATCAAGGCTGATTCATATCCCCTTTTCTATTTAGTCTCTTGGTTAATGTTTACATGCAAGTTTTACATATCTCAATAACTATTAAAGATATTTATTTAAAACTTCACATATGCATTTAGGGTCATAATTGTAGGTCACTGACAAAGATCCATAATTTTATCTTGCATTTAGGCTGATTTTTCTCCCCTTTTTCAACTTAGAAATTCATGGTAAAGTTTTGCTTGTAAGCTGTTATCTCAATTACTACTGAAGAGTTTGTGCCTTTTTTGGGACAATTTTATGCATTCATAATAATAAAGCAGTGATTTACTTGATAAAACATCTTAATTAGAAGCCTTTGTACCTTTTCTGTCAAATTTATGTATTCATAGGTAATTAGTATTATTATACTCAATAAAACACCCTTGTGACATTACCTTCCAAACGGTCAAGCCAATACTGTATAATTAGACTCTCTATAAGGCCAGGGCTGCCAACAGCAAATTGCAAAATCAGCGGAAAATACGCCGGGGGTCAAGGGGGCTGCGCAAGCCCCCATTAGCGGGTCCAGGGCAGAGCCCTGGTGGGGGACCAGGGGGCAAAGCCCCCTGAAGCTCCTGGATTCTGATGATTTGGTATGCCCTAAAATCAATTTCCTGGACTCTAAATTTGACAAATATCCGACATTTTGACGCATTTTGACAACACACAAGAGCGACAATGTAAACTGTAATTTGATTGGTTATTCTAAAATAGAATGCCGGAAAAGACTCGATATGACCAATGAGAAAAGCGCTTACAGACGTACCATAGGTGGCTAGCGTAATGATAAAAGCCGAAGCGTGCCGGTTTTTGGGTACTGTATAAAAAATGACGAATGAATTTATTGTCTTTGTCGAATTTATACGATCACAAAAATGACCCAGGAGCTCACGAAATCCGCGGATTTCCGCGGATCCGCGGAAAATCGGCAGCCCTGTAAGGCCTATAACATGAATTTATAAAAAAAAATAGCCCTTTTGTGATCTTAAAAAATTTAACATTATCAAGGCTCTTTTACTATCAAGTACTTAGAATAGTCGAGCGTGCTGTCCTACCGACAGCTCTTGTATGTGACAATGTTCCTAACTCTTGAAGCAATATTTACACATTTATCTCTCTTTGAACTTAGGATTTTCTTTAAGAAATATAATAACTTCTTTACTTTTTAAGGTATCTACTTCAAACTTCAAATATATATTTCTTATCATTACACAAATGTTGTGTGACAAGGTCCATAACTCTAGCATCACTATTTCTAGAATTATTCCCCTTGATCTTGGAATTTATGTTAACAAATATTATTTTTTTAATATAACTTAATACATAATTATACATAACTGATTTTTCTTTCATAGTTTTGTCCTCCTTACTGCGTCCAGTATTTTATTAGTCGAGCTTTGCTGTCTCCTGTGACAGCTCTTGTTAGCTCACCTGTCACAAAGTGACAGGGTGAGCTTTTGTGATCGCTTTTTGTCCGGCGTCCGTCCGTCCAGCGTCCGTAAACTTTTACTTTAAATGACATCTCCTCATAAACCACTAAGCCCATTGCATCCAAACTTCACAGGAATGTTCCTTTGGTGGTCACCTTTGAAAATTGTTCAAAGAATTTAATTCCATGCAGAACTCTGGTTGCCATGGCAACCAAAAGAAAAAACTTTAAATATCTTCTTCTAAAAAACCCAAAGAGCTAGAGCTTTTTGGCATGAAACATCTTCTAGTGAGTGTCTACCAAGTTTGTTCAAATAAAAGCCCTGGGGGTCAAAATTGGCCCCGCCCCAGGGGGTCATTGATATTCCCTATATGCATATAGTAAAAACTTAAATAATCCTCTTTTAAAGAACCCAATGAGCTAGAGCTAAGATATTTAGCATGAAACATCTTCTGATAAGTGTCTACCAAGTTTGTTCAAATAAAAGCCCTGGGATCAAAATTTGCCCCGCCTCAGGGGGTCATTGATTTTCCTTATATGCATATAACAAAAACTTTAAAAATCTTCTTTTAAAGAACACAAAGAGCTAGAGCTAAGATGTTTAGCATGAAACATGTTCTAATGGGTGCCTACCAAGTTTGTTCAAATAAAAGCCCTGGGGTCAAAACTGGCCCCGCCCCAGGGGGTCATTGATTTTCCCTATATGCATTTAGTAAAAACTTAAAAAATCTTCTTTTAAAGAACCCAAAGAACTTGAGCTAAGATATTTAGCATGAAAAATGTTCTAATGGATTTCTACCAAGTTTGTTCAAATGAGAGCCATGGGGTCAAAATTGGCCCCGCCCCGGGGGTCATTGATTTTCCTTACATGGGTAAAGCAAAAACTTAAAAATCTCTTTTGAAAAAATCCAAATAGCTAGAGTTTAGATACTAAGCATGAAACATCTTCTAGTGAATGTCTACCAATTTTGTTCAAATTAAAGCCCTTGGGTCAAAATTTTCCTTATATATGTATAGTAAAAACTTAAAAAATCTTCTTTGAAAAAACTCAAATAGCTAGAGTTTAGATATTAAGCACGAAGCACCTTCTAGTAAGTGTCTACCAAGTTTGTTGAGAAAATGGCCCTGGGTCAAAATGGCGGGCCCCCGGGACATTGATTTTCCTTATATGTGTGAAGCAAAAACTTAAAAATCTTCTTTGAAAAAAACCTGAATAGCTAGAGTTAAAGATATTAACATAGAACAATTTTAGTAAAGTGTCTTACAAAATTTTCAAATAAAAAGCCCCTGGGGATCAAAATTGACCCGCCCGAGGGGGGTTAAGTGATTTTCCGTATATGTATAATTATAGTAAAAAAATTTTAAAAAATCTTCTCTAAAAGAAAACTAAAAAGCTAGAGGTTATAATTTAAGCATGAAAAATCCAGGTGTCTACCAAAAGTTTGTTCTAAAAAAAAAAGCCTGGGGTCCCAAAATTTGGGCCCCCACAAGGGGTCATTATTTCGCATATGTACATAGCTTTTTGGAACTGTGTTTTTCCTTAGCATAGACCCAATGGCAAAAATGGACTATTTCAGAATACAAAATAGAACTTTGTGATATCAGTTTTTAGATTTAATTTTATATCTACTTTTTGTGTATAGATAACAAAATTAAGTGTTCCTTGTCATAGAGAAGTTTAATATTCTGGTGATCGATTTCAAAGGCCATCATGGCCCTGTTGTTTTCTGGTTCATTGAGTTTTGTCAGAGTTATGGCCCTTAATGATTTAAAAAATTTTCAAATTTGTCCGGATTACTCCTCTTAATATCCACTTATGGAAAATTTTTTATGAAACTGTAAGGGATTATTCGCTATTTACGGTAGCTCAAGTAAATTTTACACACGTTTTTAGGTTTAATAATTTTTGGTATAGTTATGGCTATCATGAAGCAACACATGTGATCACTGATAATTCTTGTTTTGTTTTGGTAATATTATGTATTAATATTAAGCCCTGGGGTTTAAACTGGACCCTTTACGGGGGCCTATATACAGGTGAGCGACTTCAGGGCTATCATGGCCCTCTTGTTTAATTATCTCCCTTTATTATACATGTACTTAATTATGCTTGTCCAGAGAAATACTGGAAAAGAGTTGATGAAATTTGATTAAACTTTTACACAGTGAAAACAATCAAGTGAAAGGAAGTGTTTTTAGCTCACCTGTCACAAAGTGACAGGGTGAGCTTTTGTGATCACTTTTCGTCCGGCGTCCGTCCGTCGTCCGTCCGTCCGTCGTCCGTAAACTTTTTCTTTAAATGACATCTCCTCATTAAACCACTAGGCCAATTTCATCCAAACTTCACAGGAATGTTCCTTTGGTGGTCACCTTTAAAAATTGGTTTCAAAAGAATTTAATTCATGCAGAACTCTGGTTGCCCATGGCAACCGAAAGAAAAAAACTTTAAA